GCTTTCATCTGCCGGCCCAGAGAGCGCCAGAATGGGCCCGCCCCCCCCTCAGAGCAGACCCCAGCACCCTGCAGGAGGGACCCCACAGATGCTCCTCCCTGACCTCAGACCCCTAGCACTTGCACCTGCCTTCTCCAGCCTGGACAGCTCCCTCAGACAGACACCCCTTCCCCCTAGATCTGCCTCCCCCCACACTTCCCTCTAGATCTGCCTCCCCTCCAGAAAGGCCCCCTCAGACACCCCTTCCCCCTAGATCTGCCTCCTCTCACCCCACAGCCCCCCTCAGACACCCTTCTTCCTTGGATGTGCCTCCCCTTTAGACAACCTCCTTAGACACTCCTTCCCCTTAGACCTGCCTCTCCCAAAAAGCACCCCTCACACACCACCTCCTCCCTGGATATGCCTCCCCCCTCAGACACCCGTGCCCCTGTACATCTGCCTCCTCCTGCAGACATCCCCCCTCAGACATATTTCCCCCCTCAGACACCCCTTCTTCCCTGGACATGCCTCCCCCTCAGGTCCTCTCTCTCTGACCTCTACTTCAGACACCCCTCTCCTCAAATACCCCATTCTCCCTGAGATGCTGCATCCCCTCCTCACCCGTCCCTCCGAACCTTCGCCCTTCTGACAGCCCCTCCCCCTCAGCACCCCCACTACCAGACACCCCCCCACATCCATACCCTTAGACATCTGTTCCTGTCAGACACCCACCCCTCACACACATCCTCCCCCTTCCATGCTTCTCAGCCCCTCCCCACCCCACCCTTTGAGACCTCACCTTTCAGACAGAGCACTTTTCTCAGACCTGCTCGTTCAGACCCCCCCCAGCACCTCACCCCCATGACGTGCTCTCAAACACAGCGTTCCTCTCGGACACTGCTCTCCCCAAAGATCCCGCACAGCCGCTCTGCTCCCCACGAGCCCCCCCTCACCCCTCGGACAGCAGACAAGAGTTGGCAAATGGCCTGTTCCCTCCGGACCTGTCGGGTCCCCACGGGCACCCAGGAGGCCCCCCACCACCCAGCGTCCACTGTGTCTCTCCCACACGGTCCTCTCCGGCACTCAGGGCCCCCCCCCCGCCTGCCGCCACTCTGCCCCCACGCCCCCTCCGTCTCCCGTCCAATCTCCCCAACTTTCTCTGTTGCTCTCCCTCCCTGTCTCTCCCCACCCCTCTCCGCACTCCTCTCTCCCCCCTTCTCTGTCTCCCCATCATCTTTTCCGTTCATCTCTCTTCTCTCTCTTCCCTTGTCTTCCTCAACCCGGGGGTCTCCTCCCATCCTTCTCCACCCACTCTCCCCAACCCCTGCCCCCCCACCTCCCTCGGGTCTCTCCGATCTCTGGCTTCCCCGCGCCCCATCCAAACCGTCCCCTCTTCTGCCAGCTCTCCCCTCTCCCCAGCTGGCCGCCACNCCTCCCTCGGGTCTCTCCGATCTCTGGCTTCCCCGCGCCCCATCCAAACCGTCCCCTCTTCTGCCAGCTCTCCCCTCTCCCCAGCTGGCCGCCACCCCTGCTGGGCCCCCCCCCAGCCCGTCCCGCCTCAGTCTCCCCATCTCCCTCCCGGCTCCAGGCTCCGCACCTCGCCGGCCACCTCTCTCCCACCTCCCTCTCGCTCTGCCTCTCCGGGTCCCCCTCCCTCCTGCCTCCGCCCCCGCCCCCACCCCCATTGGCCCCTCTCATTTCCGTGTTGGTTTTGATTTCTCTTCCCGACGCTTTCAACTCCCCGCCGCCTCCTCCGGACACGTTATAACGAGGAGCCGTGGGATCGGCGCTCCGGGCCCTGCTCCCACGCTCCCCCCCGCATCTCTCGCGCGTCTCTGCCGTCTCGCCATCTCTGCCTGCCCCTTCTCTGTCCCCATCTCTGTCTGGTCGGGCCCACGGGGACTGGGTCCCTGCCCTGACTGTCAGGGTCCACAGTGCCACATCTCAGGGTCCCCATGTCTCTCTCTGGGTCCCCACATCTCCCTGTCTCCACACAGCTCTTTTATGTCTCTGAGTCTCCACATCTCTCCTCCCTACATCCTTGTCTCTCCATCTCTGTCTCTATCACTGTCTCTGCGTCTCTGTTTCCGTCCCAGTGTCCGTCTCTTGAGGTCCCTTTGATCTCGCCCTGCCCCTGGCGCCCCCCTGGCCCCATTGATCGCTGATCGACCGGTGGAAGGAACGGGCCTGCGGGGCTGGGGCTGCAGGGCCAGGCAGGGGCCCTGTTAGGACGCTGGACAGACGGACAGCCGGCCCCAGACCCGGTAGCTGTGGAGGGGGAGCTGCTGCAGCCCCCTGCCCCGCCCTGCTGGTCCGCGCCGCGCCGATGGGGACTCCGGGCAAGCTTTAATTTTTAATTTTATTTTGCTTCCTCCACCCCCCCCCGCCCCCCATCTCCACCGCCTGCAGCATGACACGGAGTGTGTGTGTGCGTGTGCGTGTAGCAGTGTGGAGAGGGGCTGGGCAGGCAGATGCTGCCTCCCTCCTCCCCTCGCCAAGCAGTCACACAGACCCACAATCCAGCCCAGGCGTGAGGGTGCGCGCGCGCACACACACACACACACACACCACACAGACACGCATCGACCAAACCACACACACCACACCACCCACACACACAACAGCCCACACTGACGTAGGTCCACAGGGTCACACACACACCACGCCGTCACACAACACATCACACACTGTCAACAACCAGGCTGTCGTGCATGGCACACCGCACAAAGGCCAACAGAGTCACACATCCAATGCTGCCCCACACAGCACACAGACACACTGTCAACCCCGTGACACACCCACTGCCACACACCGCACACCCACACATGACGCACACATCAGGAAAATTGTACCACCACACTCCATACAGACCCACACCGCACCCCCGGCACGCATACCCCCGTGTCACCCACAACACACAGACACGCAGGTCAAAATAGTCACACAGCTCGTGACAGTCACACAAACACACACACATCATGATGGTCACGGAGATTCACAGAGAAACACGCACCCGTCTAGAGATAAACACACCAATTTCATTGCACACAGAAACAAAGATACACAATCGTGGGCAGAAATACCCAATCACAAATGCACAGTGACGCACCAAGGGTCCAAGCTAGTCAAACACAGGGGACATAAAAGTACACAGTGTCACACAGGCAAGCCCCGGAGACCCTGGGTGCACGTGTGCTCCCACACCCACGTGGTGACAGATGCACATGTGGCACCAACCCAGCCACTGAGATCACACACGCGCACGTGCACACGCACACGCACCAGCCCACAAAGCAGCACGCTCGCACCCAAAAGCCAACTGGGTGACAGGCCGTGTCGGGCTGAGGTGGGCACTGGGAGGTGAAGCCGCCATCCGTCCAGCTGTCTGTCCACCCGGCCCTCTGTGCTTCTCCGGCGCGTCTGCGTGTGTCAAGTGGGCCCGGGCTCAGGCCTACGTCTGCCGCCTTCTCTCTGCAGATGGGGCTTCCGGCCTCCTTCAGGCCCAGGGGCTGGCGGGGTCTCTCACGGAGCTCTCTGTCCTTCCGTCTCTCTGTCTGCCTGTAGCTCCGAGTATCTCTGTCTCTGAGGGTCTGGGTCTCTTGTCTCGGTCTTGGGGCATCTCTGTCTCTGGGCGTCTCTGCCTCTCCACATCTCTCTTCGCCTCTTGTCTCCTCGCCCCCCATCACCCCGGCCCCCTGGGCTGGGGTTTAACCAGTTGTTTTGATTTCTCTAAGCTGCTCCGGCCGCCGCTTCGGGAGCCGCCTCGGGCCTCAGCCCGCCCCCCCCAGCCCCTTCATCCCTCACCCGGCACCCCCTCCCCTTAACACAATCTGCACAAGTGGAATGAAAATTGATTTTTTTTTTAAATTTCATATCTTCTCCGGGGCTCTGTCTAAAGAGGAGAGAGACGCGGCCCAAGACCCTTCTCCCACCGCCGCCCCCGCACGCGCACACACACAGGCACACACATCACGCCTGGACACACACACACACCCGACTCTCTGTCTGCACCCACCCCGGGGACATCCCCCTCCTCATGCCACACGCCCACGCAGGACACATCTGTGCACACAACAGACACACAACAGACTCCTGCACAGCCTCCCTAGGCCCCCGCCAGTTGGCACACTTTGCACGCCACGCACCCTGTCCCGTCAGGCTGCTCCCAGCCCAGCTGTCTGCCGTCGCACACTATGTGTGCGCACGCTCTCACACGCACCTGTCCACATCTGTGTGCACACAGGTTCAAGGGCAGTCTCACTGCAGGCAGCAAGCAGACCTCTGGGGCTATCCCGGGGAGGACCAGGTCAGCAAGGTGACAGGGGCTTTCCTGCCTGGACTTGCCCCCCCCCCAGTCCCCAAGGTCACCCCACTCCCACCCCTACATCAGCCAAATGTTCCAGCCTGACCCTGGGGGGTGTCTCTGTGCTGGGTGTGTGTGCGTGCATAGGTACATGTGCACGCATGCATACACACACACACACACACACACACACACTGCTCACT